TAATTCTGGGGTTCCACTTTATCTCAATCGATATGCCAGTGGAGCAAACCAGAAGGCAAAAAAGCCTTCCTGGTTGATCGTTTATATGGTTATGAGATTTTTGCTAAATCTGAGATAAACCAATCAACTGCATCTTAAGCAATCACCTTGGACGATGAGATATGTGAGTCGACTGATGAGCTCGTAGAAAACCATTCTTGATAAAGAACATTGATCATGGGACAAGTTGAGATCATTGCACAGCATAGCAGAGCGTCGCAGCTGGGCAAAATAAATAGAATTTATGGTATATTGATTATAATAATATGCGTTTATTTTATTAAGAGCACCAAGTTGCTGCTCGGAATCCACCTGTGCTCTAACTTCAGTTAATTCTTTGGCTAAATTCCCTTTTTGGCCAATGCAGCCTTATCAGTGGCTGCCACTTCTATTAATGGCCTCAATCGAGTTCGAAACGAGTTCATATTTCTTCTTAATTCGGAATTACCCGTTTAATTGACGCATTAATGACTTCCATCGATGCTTTTATTTGAATTAAATATGCTTTTTATTTTTTGCTTATAAGCAACCATTCTTCCAGCTAAAAAAATTTCCCTTTGAATTGCGATTTTTGGATTTTTCTACTCAATTTTTTCATTTTTGTTTGATTTAATTAGTAATTTTTGTTGCAATACTGCGCAAAAGTAATTAAGAAACGCAAATTTTTAAATTTTCGCTTATTAAGGAAATCGATTCGGGTTTTTTTATTATTTCAATAAAATATTTTCCATTAATGAAAAAATAGTGATTGCTGAAATTTCACTTATTCTTCCATATTGGCGTTCCACACTTTATGCAAATGATTTCTATTACGTTGTTTGTTTATTTATTTATTGAAAAGCAGCCAAGCAGGGCCCAAACGCCCATGTGCTTGTATTAATAACAACAGTTAAAATAACAAATAATAAGAATTAATGACAAAAATAATAAAAACAAATAAACAATTTAAAGAAATAAAGAAGAAATTGCAAAATAATATAATATATAGTACAATTCGAAGTAACTATAATCGGATGGTAAAAAATTGAGATTTCATACTTCCTGCATGATGTGGACTTTTTAAATAAGATCATAAATGATTATTTAATCTTTTTTTAAAGATAGCTAGAAATGGTGCACAAGCTATATCGTTCGGTAGTTTATTCCAGAAATTAATATTAGGAATAAAGAAATCATGAGTCCTTTGTTTAGTTTTACACATAGGTTTTAGTAATTTTAGCCCATTAGTTCTTGTTGGATTTAAATTTAACCTAAAATTATAATATTATGGACAATCCAGTTTAACATAACCGTACAAAATCTTATAAGTATAAATTAAATCTTGTTTAATATGACGAACTGATAGAGAATCCAGGTTATATTGTAGAATTTTTTTTCTTTTATAATTAAAATTGCAATTAAGAGAGCGTCTTATAAAATATTTTTGGAGTCCTCCTATTATTTCACTTGATTTACGATACCTCGGGGAGTAACATGTAGCATTGTAGTCAAGAAGTGGCTGAATGCTTTGTAAATTTTGATAAGAAAATCTTCAATTTTGTTCTTAACGAACGAAAAATGAAATTTAGAATCTTTGAGGATTTCTTAATCATGGTTTTGCAGTGAAGGTCGAAATTGAAATTTTCATCCATGATTATTCCAAGATTGGAAATGTGTGAAACTCTACTGATTATATTACCATTAATAATAAGATTAGGAATATCGAAACCTTTAGAATTGATATTAAGAACGCTACATTTTTGAAAGGGAAGGAAACATAAAAATAGAAAATGAATAAATGCTTTGTGGTTAAAATAGTTCCGCTAATTGTAAGGAATTTTTATCAACAACTCGACTTGGCCACTGAAATACAGGTTGGCTGTACCAAGCGGATTTTTTAATGCGCAGGCCTCTAAAAATGGAAATACATTTATGGTACTATATTTCTATAGTATTTCTTGTAGTATTGATTTACTCACATTTAAAATTCCAAATTAGATAAAATATTATAAAACCTTGCTCAGAAAATTTAAACATGGAAATAAAATTAAATTATCTCGTTATTAACTCATCTCAATCGCGTTCACGTTGTGGTCGCGCGCAATTGCATGCACATGCATGCACGCATGCAGATTAGGACAGAATGTCGCATCTATAAAGTAATTCGATGAAAAAAAAGATATCATATCAAAAAAGGAACGAAAATTCAAGAAAAAAGTTTGAAAAACAGAAGTATAGGTTCATAAAAAGCAACCGGATTTCATTTTTGATGCTGGGTTTATTCCTATCCTTCAAGGGAAGGATTCGAACCGAACCGATGATTAGACCCCGTAAAAGCAACATACGACCCCCAGTCGGCCATTCTACCTCCTCCCTCACCTCCATTGAGTTGTCCCACTCATAAAAGTTTTTGTCTATTAGAGTTAAGAGTTACGATAATTAAAAACACCACTTGTTTGTAAATATTTAAGAAAAAAATGCTAAGTAACTGAAGTGTTGCGGTGTTTAAGGAAAAGCAAGGGGCATGACAGAATGTTATTAGTGTCTTTCAAGAAATTGAACAACTCATCTACATTCCCTAGTGATTCTTTAACAAAATTTGATCCAGCGGAGCCTAAAGAAGGCCTTCTACCAGCGATTGCAGACTGATTTATGAGCATTACAAATGCAATGATCGTCTCTTATGCAAGTGATAAATTCTGTATGTACCGAACTTTATTTGGTGGACGAACTTTGTAATGCATCAAAGTTTTCGGCGGACAACCTTTTGGTTTAATTGTTTAATTCTAATTAAATTTAAAGAAAAGGAGCTCGTGGCTTATGTTGTTCTTGATTAAGCTTTCTGGGGGTCAGAGGTCACATTTCAGAATACTTACGTCGGGAGATTTATTTCAGCAAAGAAAGAAATGATAGCTAAGTCAGTAAAAAATATTTGAAATTGGAAAAAATCCTCTTGAAATTTTTTATTTTCAAAAAAGAAAAATAACCATGCAAAACGAGAGACCACGGCACTTGAAATTTCCTCATTGCGGTTCTTTTTCTGAATTTTTTTTTATTTTATTACTTATTATTTTAATTTAATTGTCGATTTGTTAAGGATTAGAATTAATTATTGGCCGTTGGGTAAGTTTTTAATTATATGACTGACGGGGAGATAATCGATAGCCGAGTCGCCTTGGCCGACGACAAGTAGTGCGGATTCGATGCCTCTCTCTTTGCTCTAACATGCGTTTTTTAAACCCGGCCGGTGGGGACTCCGTTCGCAAGTGAATATGTCGAAGAATTCTCATCTGTAAACGCCCGTGGTAAGTCGTCGGGAAACCAGCCGAACAGCAGAAATGCTATAAATTTGCTTATAAAAATTTTTTAGAATTCGTTTCATTTTTTATTTTGAGGTGAGGTTTGACGGAGATTTTTTATGATAGATATGTGATATTCATTGTTTTTTTTTTTTTTTTTTTTACAATTTTTACTGTTGCTAATTGATTCTTTGCTTTAATATTTCATAATAATTTGATAATTTAATAATGCATAATATTTAGTAATATTTTAACATTTAATTATTTTATAATATATAATATTTAATAATACTTTTAATATTTTATTTATTCTTCATTTCTGTTCATAAAAAAATTATTTATGAAAAATTCGCGAACTTTTTTTCATTATTTTTTATAAAATTTTTCTGATTTTTTTATTAAATATTCGCTTTTTATTTGTAATTTTATTTGTTTAACTTTTCATTGTTATGGTTTTTCTTCATATTTTCAATCCTTTTCAATTCTTGTAAATTTGCATTAATTTCACATCCTATTTTCTAATTTAAATTTAATTATTTAGTTGTCATTTAATATTAATTTTGATATTTTTGTCGTTTTTTTGCAAATCACTTTTATTCCTGTTTTCCCTAATAATTTTCTTTTTTTAAACCAAATTGCATTTTTTAATTAATTTTTTTTGCTTGCTCGTTGAATTTTTTTCTGGTTAGTTTTATTCAAATTGATTTTATTTTTATTTTCCTTTTTATTTATTTATTGTATTTTTCCGATTTCTATTTGTCTTATTTAAATTTTTTGCTTTTAATTTCCTTTTTTCACAATTTTAATGGTTTTAATATGTTCCCATTTTAATTACAAGTCGTTTTATTCTTGAATAAAATTTAAAATTAATTAAATTTTTTGCGCGAAACATTTCATGATTAATTGGAATTTTTATGAAAAGACCTTTTATTCATTGTTTTGCCTTCTCTGTTTTATTACTTATTTAATTTGGAGAAATCCTTTCATTTTTTTTGGTTTTTTTCTTACAATTTAATTAAAATCTAATTTTTTATTATTTTTTATTATTATTTATTATTTATATATATTATTTATAATTTTTTATTATTTGATTCGATGACAATTTTTGTTTAATTTAGTTTTTGGTTATATCTCAATTCTTTTTACTTAGTTATTTATTATTCGTTAAAGGGAGAAAAATTCAGCTAAATTAACGAAGGCGAATTTTTTTGGAGACAAGTTTTTTCTCACATCAGTTGTGAGCAAATTTGGTCGTTAACAAGATCACATATCGTGCTAAGGTTTGTTTCTTCTTCACTGTTTGGATTCGATTAATTTCTTAATTTCTTTATGTCGAGTTTATTTTAGCATTTGTGCTTATTTAAAACAAATCTTCAAAATTTGAAGCTAAAATATCGTATTTCATTTAAAATATAATTTAAAATCAAATTATGTATATAAACCGTATCATTTTTGAATGTTAGAAGAATTCTTTTAGATGTTTTTTTAGTTAAATGAAATACGATACGATTTGTATCAAAATTTAAATTATTTAAAAATTTCTGTATAAAGATTTATGAAATTTTAATATATTTATCGAGCATTTCAAATAATTCTGTTTATTATATTTTTATTATATATTTTTTATATATTTTTATTTTGTATTTTCATATTGTGCTTAAAGTGTTGAAAGAATTGGTTCAGATGACTACAGTTGAAGAAGTTCAAACTCGCAATGCAGTTGAAGAGGTTCATGGTCAAATTTTTGAAGTTGGTCCGCGTTATATAAATCTTTCATATATTGGTGAAGGCGCGTATGGAATGGTTGTGTAAGTTTTTTTAAAATACTTTTTAAATGGTTGAATAAAAGGAATAAGATTTATATATACATTGCCAATCAGTGGTAGGGAATTTTTCATTGGAATTAAAGTTGAGATCAGAGATTTGTAAATTTTTCTTTTTCCTTTAAAAGCTGCAAATTAAAAAAAACCAAAAACAAAATATTTAACAATACTTATATTTAATAATGAAATATTTAATAAAAATTATTAAACCTTTATTTTTAGTTCTGCATTGGATACCGAAACACATGAACGAGTTGCTATCAAGAAAATATCGCCGTTCGAGCATCAAACATTTTGTCAGAGGACATTACGCGAAATAAAAATATTAACGAGGTTCAAGCATGAAAATGTTAGTTGTAAATATTAATTGGAATATAACAGCGCAAATTTTTTCCGATGAAATCAATTATTTTCTTTAAATATTATCGTTTGCAGATAATTAATATTCAAGAAATAATTCGTGCTCCAAGTGTTGAACAAATGAAAGATATGTAAGTTTTTTTTTACTTCTTCTCATTTAAATTTTCTTATTATTTTATACTTTGGTTTCATTATATCTCGTTTTATATTTCCGAAAGCAATTAATATTAATAATATAATAAGCTTTTTTCATAAAAAGATGTATTAAATAAATTGTCAAGAAATTATTTAAAATATACCAAAAAATCAGCAATAATATAATAAAAATAAAAAAATATGCGTGAAAAATCTTCAGACTTTAGATTTCAATTCTTTTTTAGCTTCAATGAGCTGAATTTTTTAATTTTCAGTTATATTGTGCAATGCTTGATGGAAACTGATTTATATAAATTGCTTAAAACGCAGAAACTTTCAAATGATCATATTTGTTATTTTTTATATCAAATATTGCGTGGATTAAAATATATTCACTCTGCCAATGTCATTCATCGCGATCTCAAGCCATCAAATTTACTTCTTAATACCACTTGTGATCTCAAAGTTGGTATTAGTATTATTTTTTAATTCTTTAATATTGATTGAATTTTTTTGCAGTTCATAAATTTTTAGATCTGCGATTTTGGTCTTGCGCGAATCACTGATCCAATACATGATCACACTGGTTTTTTGACAGAATATGTCGCTACGAGGTAGATTGTTGTTTAAAACTGTTTAAAGTGATTTTATGTTTTTTAATGTTCATTTTCTATTCCCATCAAATTTTTTAAAGGTTTCAAATCCAGTTTCTTATTGTATCTTCTTTTTTTTTCATTTCTGATTTGGGTTTAGCTAGTTTAGCTAGTTTTTAGAGGATGAGAATATTTTTCAATGAGTTACATGGAGATAAATGTGGGTAGATTTATCATTATCAATTGATAAGAAAAAGACTTTGCGGTTCGCTATGAATATTAATATTGCTTCATATTTTATTTGTATATAAGCGATGTATTACTGTTAAAGTGATTTCTTGAATTATTGTTCATTTGGACAATATAAAGAATTAAGAAAAAAGAAAAATTATCTAAAAAATTATCCTCTTGAAGATTGCGAAACATTTAAATAAAGAAAATTTTCTTTTTTTTAACATTAATATTAGATGCAGGTGGTATCGAGCGCCAGAAATTATGTTGAATTCAAAAGGATATACCAAATCAATTGATGTCTGGTCGGTTGGATGTATTTTGGCAGAAATGTTGAATAATAGGCCATTGTTTCCCGGAAAACATTATCTGGATCAGCTTAATTTAATCTTGGCTGTTATAGGCTCACCTAGTCAAGAAGATTTGCAATGTATCATTAATGAAAAGGTAATTTTAAGATTTTTAAAGCTTTTTCTTTTATTTATAAAAAATATTTTTGCTTTTTTGTTTGCATTTAATTTTTTCAAATTTTCATTTTGATCGCCAACTTTTTAGGCAAGATCTTACTTATTGTCTTTGCCGCATAAAGTTAAACAACCTTGGTTAAGAATGTATCCTTCAGCCGATCCCCGAGCTTTAGATTTATTGGACAAGATGTTAACATTCAATCCAAATAAACGAATTAATATCGAAGATGCACTTGCTCATCCATATCTTGAACAGTATTATGATCCAAATGATGAAGTTATTTTTTATTATTATTATTATTATTTTCTATTTTTCTTTGTAATTTTTAAAAAAAATTTTCCATGAAATATTCATAACAGGCAAAAGAATATAAAAAAGTTTTACGTTTTTTATATTTTCTGATGGTACTGCTATACTACTATAGAAACGATCAATCTTTATATCCACTATTTGTCAGTAATATAATTCAGATAATAGTATATTTAGTCATGATCATCGGATGCCTTGCTTATTACGCAATAAATTTGCTAGTATTCATCTGCTTATATCTTGTCTTTAATTCAGTAACCACTAACTATATTACCTTGTACCATCGAAAAAGTATTTTCATAATGGGATTTTTTCAGCCAGTGTGTGAGGAACCATTCACACTTGAAATGGAGCTTGATGATTTGCCAAAGGAAACACTTAAAGCACTTATTTTTGAAGAAACGGAGAATCATTATAAAAGGACTCAAGAGGCTAAACTGCATTCTACATAGCTAATTCATTAAACCATATATTTCTCTCAGTATTTCACTTCCAGTTGCATTTTTATACGTCTGCTTTCGGCTTTAATCGTTTTCATATTCATTTTCTTTAATATTCTCTTTGTTTTCCAAACGTGGAAGAATTTTTCTTAGAAAATCTCAGGAATTCGAGTTGCAATGTTTGAAATTTCCACGTTTTTGATTTTTATAGTAAATCGTGGTAATCATGGTATATTAATAAAAAATTTCTAACAAGGAATATTAATGTAGTACAAAGTTGGCAGTGTTTAGCGTGGTATTACTGCAAACATATGATTAACAGTTTTCAATATTTTCATGAAGGATAAATAGAAATAATTATTTGTGGAACTTTGCATTTTTCTGCTTTGACATTGGTTAATAGAGGCCAAGAATTCTGATGGGTTAGAGTTTTGAAATTAGCTGAAGAATTGTTAAAGTTATATCAATAAATTATAATTATTAACAATGCGAAATTATTAATATTTGAGGGATTTCAATAATCAATTTTTGAAAATAAGATTTTCATTAGGAATGCAGAAGGAATTATTTAAGGAAATCGGGGAACAATATGGTATGGTCGAATGTTATGTTCCTTTGATTAAAGTCAAATTCCTATCAGCTCATGAGAATTTCATAAGCTTCTTGACACTATGAACCTGTAATTAATAATGAAATACGGTGGATATAGTGCTGTGTAAGACCGATTTCTTCGCTCAAATTATTGTTTGTCGAAAGGGTGTCACATAGTGAAACCAACCAAGCCAGAAGTGATGTAAATATTAATGATGATAATAATGATAGAAAATAGAATAACGAAATTTTATTCACGATATAACATTTATTTTTGCTCTAAGCCATACTTCATGTTCCTCGAGGTTAATTTCTTCAAGGATTTTTTTAAAGGATATTTTAGGGACTAAAAGTTTTAGGTATTCAGTCCACAAATAATTTATTCCTTTTTAATTTCTTGTTTGATTTTGTCATTTATCTTTTTGAAAGAAAAGCGAAAATATGGTTTGTATTTTTTTATCTTTATCATTTGTTTTCATAATTTTAAATTTGTAGTTTTATTTAATATTTTGTATTTTTTCCGCGTAAATTCTCGTATTTTTAATAAGTTTTTTGTTCAAATATATATTTATTTCTCATATTTTTTATTTTCATATTTTATATATATATATATATGTTTTTGTTAATAAAATAAATTTTAAATAAAATAAAGCTAAGAATCTTGATATTTATTTCTCAATGAAGTTTCAACTTTTAAACTTTTATTTTTTGATAAATTAGATTTCTTTATCAGCGCTCGTCGTTTAATTGTTGAGATAATTGAGGCCTTTTTATCAGCTATTTGTATGTTTCTCTAGAAGCACAGACGCATTTTTTACACAAATAAGTTTTTGTGAATTCGAATCCAGATAGGTTTTTTTTTGTTTTTCAGTTAAAAATGTTCCATACAAATTCTTGATAATGTAAATTGTGTAATGAAATTATTACTTTGGATTTCTAATGAAAGCAATTTTTTGATAAATAAGGGCATTTAATAGAAAATCAGGAAATATTTCAAGCATGATGAGTTTGAAAGACGATTCTGATTTGGTTGATTCGGTTATTTGCAAGGATGTTGAGATGTTTGTATAGCTTTAATGGCGTCAGGTATGGAAGCACAGCAGTCAACGGGTTACAAATGATTAATGATTAAATGATTAAATGCAGTGCACTTGAATTTCAGTTTCTGTTCTGTTGAACTTTCTTAAACAATTTTCAAAATCATTTATAAATTAATTATCTTTTATCCATAAATTTTTCGAAGTATCGAATATTTATAGATTATTGGGCAATTACCCTAAAAATCTGACTAACCGAGAAATAACTGGAGGGGAGATTACTTAATTTAAATAAAGTCGCTTTTTGAAGTTTGTCTCCTAAAAATTGGTAAAATTTATGGAAATAAGGTTTTTCAGATATTAAATTTCAAATGATTTCAATTGAAACTTTTGATAATTTATTGGAGAATGAAAATTATCAGGAACTGAAAAATTATTTATCAGAAATCAAAGAAGTTCCTCAAGAAGAATCTTTCGCTATATTTGACATAATTCTTCATAAGTACTCCATTTTAGAAGAAAACAATTTAAGGAAGTTGGAAGAGATTTTCTTTATCTTTATCAGTTCGATGGATTTGTCAGAACGGTTTATTTCTATCATTTTTTTCGAAAATTAATTTATGTATCCTTATTTTTTACTGATAAAATTTGCCTTAACTAAATTAACTGTTATTAACTATTATTATAATTAATTGTTTTCAGATTCTATCTTTTAGCAAAGGCTTTCAACGATGAATATTCTATTAAAGCAGTTCATTTCGTTCTTACCTACCTTATTGGTACTTTGCAGAATGCTTCTGAAAGGTACCACTTTATTATAAATTAGATTCTTCATGAATTGTGAATCTTGCATTCCATTTTATAAAATAAATCGACAAAAATTTAGTTTGATTTAAAAAGTAAGAAAAAGTTAATTTAATTGCATCAAATTAAGGTTTGAAAATTTGAGAAAAACAGAGAATTCTATTTTCTAAAGTTGCTTATTATTAATGGACGGACTTCCAGAAAAAAAACTATGAAATGTCTGAAATCGATGAAATTCGTTTCTGCTCATGGGGTAGAATTTTCTTGCATAATTTATACAGATTTAGCTGTGCAAACCATCATTAAAATCCGTCCGCGTGCTAGGGACCTTACAGAGATTTTGCTGTTCCTAAACGATTCTTTATCAAAAGATCATAAAATGAGGTGATAGAAATTTCATTATGAAATTTATTGACAGCGAACAAAATCAAGCTCAGGATTTGGTTCCCACTCTTTTTTCTCGATTGAAAAAAAATTTTGATCATGGAAGTGAACGATTAATTCTATGTATGGATTATGTCGATCTTTTTCAGTAAGTTTTCATTAAAGTGAAGTATCAATTTTGAAATTAGTAAAAATTAACTTTAATTGTTTACAAAAAAATTAACTTTAACTATTTAAAATACAATGAAAAAATTAAATTAAATGATAAAATGCTGTACTACACTTGCTCTACTATTAAACAAATAATTAGTTTTAATTTAATAATTTATCAGTTTATATATTCATTTTTTCATTTTTTTTTATTTTTTTCAGGTACTCGAATCATGATTCAATTTATCTATTAGAAGAATTTATGTCTACGATCTTATTTTCATTATCAATTAAAGAAAAAATGATAAATGAAATTCTTGAAAAATGCTGGAAAATTCGCTTAAAACTTGGCGAAAAATTAAAATTTAATTTACTGTTATTAGCAGAAGCCTTAATTTATAATAAAATTCATATACCTTTAGTTTATTCATCAGAATATTTACTTGAATTATGCGTTTCTGCATTTATAAGAGATGTACAGGTGGAAATGTTAGGAAGGCACAGCATCGAAATCATACAACTTTGTTTCATCTTTTGTTTAACGCCAATTGATGATAAAACTATTCTGAGGGATGCTTTAACTAAATTCGTTGTAAGTTTCTAATTTTTTTCGTATCATTTTTTCTTTGAGAAGCAAGGCAGTCGATTCTTGCTTCGAGCAAGTTGTCGTAATTTCCATTCTTGACCCTTGATGACCTTTAATGCATTAAATGCATTAAAAGTGAAGTATGGATAATATTGGGACCGGTCTGTACTATTACTATCTGCACTATTCTTGTGCAAAAGGCTTTCGAATTAACTTGAAAGTCTCATATCCATCCATTACTAATATCCATTTAAGTGAGCCACCCTGGAAATTATAAGCTTCTTACTGCACATACCATTACTGATTACCGATCTGGCTGTATTTCTAATAAGATATATCTCTAATAAGATGACATGTTTCCAAGAATTTCAGTCTGATTTCATATATGGATTTAACTGCGACTGCTCCGTTCACCGTCTGAGCATACATATCATCGGAGTGCTTGTGGTCTTCTAATTATTCTTTGTTAATTATTTAGAACAAATTTCAGCCATTTTTCGATAAAATACTGCGCATTATTGAGATATTACCACAGGATTCACTAAGAAAAATCTTAATGGATCTTTTTCGACTCACAGTTAATAAATTTGAAGAAATTGCTCAGTTACTTATCATCCGAAGATTTATCTTATTCATTAAAGAGAACAAGCTGAAGTTAGCTTTTTTTCGGCATTACAAGCTAGTGATTTATTATGCCATATTTTTTAGGCATTGGAAAACGTTGTTTAATGAAAATTTCCGTTTAGATGCAAGCTTCACATGAAAATAAAGTTTCATATGACTTATGCAATTTGAAATGTTTGAGTAATTAATAGTTCTATTTTTCTTTATGATTTTTTTGTTGATTTTTAGTTTTTTTATGAATAAATCATATTCGAATACACTCGTTTTCTTTTCAGATTAAACAATGAAGCAAGTGTTCTTGCATGGTTGCTTGATGAATATCGCTATTTTTTGAGGTATAATAATTATTTTCAAGACGAACTTGGTTATATATGGGCCGACTTAAGTGCATTTCGATACAAAGAGTTGGAAGAAACATCAAGTTATTTCATCTCAATTTTACTATTGATGCAGTATCAGGCTCTTCATCGAATTAACAAAAAATTGATGCTGAATGTGAAAGAAAAGATTTTAAATCATTTTCATGATCACCTTTGCGATTTTACATCATTAATTAACATGAGCAAAGTTTTAAATTCGGAAAATCATTTATCGCTTTTGCAGTTTACTTATCAGCAAACTGAAATTGCCGTTAATGAATTTTTAAATGATTTGCCACATAATTTTCCCTCGTAATAAAGCCTTTTCTCCTTTTTCTAATTGAATGCATCTGTTTGCTGTTTTCACTGGCTATTTGCACGATTAATTGATATATTTGCCAGACAAATAATGCGAATTATTCTTAACCTTTCGGAATTGCTTGCTGCTTTTGAGATTATCCTATTATCCAATAGAAGAGAAGTACCCACAGTCTCTTATTTCATTTATAAAGCAAAAATTAAGTAAAAGCATATTAAGATTGCTTTCGTGAAATAGTGTGGAATTTCCAAACTTTTTAAGGGTTTTTTAATTCTTTTTTTTGCATTTGTTTCTATTTGCTGTGCAGATTTTTTTTGGGTGAAATCAGTTTATTAAATGATATTTATCTAATAAAAAATTTTTTAAAAAAGCGAATTAATTATGAGTTGAAGCAGTCCGTTGTTTCACCCTTAAATTTTCCCGATAATTGGATCGTTCCAGCATCAAAAATTCTGCTCGGTACTTTCCCTTTACTCACATATTTGTCATCGATATATATTGTAATTTTACGATCACAAATCTGAAAATCCAATTTTGAAAGTCGATATTTTTCATAAAAAACTTAAAGTGAAACGTAAAATTTTTAGATTATTGTATATTTAAGCGCAGCATCTTCAGTGATTGCCGTTCTTGGAGTGCATATCTTCAGTAGTACGAGGGATCACTTTAGGAAATCGCGTAAGGACTGATCCGCGGATTGAAATATATTAAATATACTCCGTCTTATACAGCCAGTACACTCCGAAGTGATATGTCATGAAATATTATCTTTAAGAAATCAAGGGTGATGTTGCAAAATATGGATTGGCCAATATCCAATAGTCGTTGAATGAGCTTATTCCCATCTTCGCACAAGTACGAAATCTCAGGACAAATTGCCGTGTTATACTTTAATATGGGACAATACCTCGCAGAAGTACAATAGGCGAGCAATTACTTGAAGCAAACATTTCGCATCTGCAGTCACGAGAGTTCATTTTCCTTCTTCTTCACAGGGCTTACGATATTTTTTTTGAATAATTAAAGAACATTTATAGTTCCGCAAACCTATTCCTCAATGGATAAAAATATCGCTAACATTTACTTCAATCTCTTGAGCAAGCAAGATGACAAACCGGAATTAATTTTCCGCATTTATGATAAATATTCAGTTTAGGATCAATTGTAGTGAACTCATCCGTATAGCCTCGAAGTTCAAAATGTCCATTTTCGTCTGTCCTACCCTCGGCCATAAGATCGTCAGTGTCCACTCCTTAATAAACAGTAAAAATAATTAAGCCCTCTTTCTTCACTGCCCAATTTATTTCCTTCTTCAAGATCCTTTCGACAGAAATAAATATGAAAATCGAGGAGAATTTCGCTAATATACCGAATAAAGTATTCAGAAAATCAGAAAGTATTCTGAAATGGAAATTATAGCTTGAAATCTTTCAAATATGACTGAATTCTATCAATTTTCATTATTATCAACTATTTATTCTATTCAAAATCTTAAATTTTAGTACTTTTTCAAAAGGAATAAAGCCCAATGCCGAATAAAGTCGAAATTCCATGCATAAGGAATTAGATTTTTAATAACATTAATCAGCTCTTGAAAAGAATTTGTACTTTTTGCTTAATTTTTGTAAAATTTATGGACTTTTATCTTTTTTCTACAATAATTAGCAAAAATATTGCAACTTCGATAGAGTAGCATGAATAGCTCGATTCCCCTCCGCTAATAAGGATAAACATTAAATCAGCGTTAAATCTTTATTGCGCTTTCTGAGCCCATTTGTTTCTAATTAATTAATACATTCTTCACTGGAAATAATATTTAATTTCAAATTTTGTTTTTATTCCATTTTATTGGCTCATCCTAGTGACCAAGCAAAGCAGAGGAACAAGCATACTAAAAAATCGACCAGTGTTACCAGAAAAGCCAACCTCTGTCATCATCGTATAGCTTCACTTTGACATTTTTGGCTGGTTTATTATCGCACATCAAGGTTCCTTTAACTCCAGCACTTTGCGTTGTACCAAGACATATTACACTTATAGGTAATAAAAACAATGACACTAGTTGAATAATCATAGCCTGAAAAAGTTGTTGCAAATTATGATTTCAGTATAAATATATTACTATCGTTCATTATGTGGCTTCTCTGTTGTGAAACTATCATTGAAAGTGATATTGATAGTGGTGGTCCATTTATTTATTACCAAATGAATCTCTGGCGTAGGAGCCATCAAAATATTTCCCTCCCATAATCAATGGATCCAAATAAGCCAAAAATATTAAGCTAGAGGAAGAAGACCGCAGACATCTTATTCAGAAACTATGTAAAGATGGATTAATAAACACCGAATAAATTTATGAACAAAAAAGACGCTGGTAGGTGGGAAAACTTTGCATTACAACTAATACCATATGTTTTCGATAATTTGGGTGCAAAGAATCTATTTGTTTAATAAAATTATGAAACCAGTTCTATTACGATGTAATATTGGAAAAAATTGTCAATAAATTTAATAATTGCGTAAAAGCATAATAATAATAATAATTAATTTTAATTTTATAATGTTGCACAATTGAAACCATTTGGAAAAACTATGAAGAAAGCAAAGATAAATTTTTTTTTCTAATGAATTAAACTCAGTCAGTTCCAATATGGTCAAAAGATATTGCTTAGACTTTCATTTCGAGCATTATAATTCTGATTTAAACGAGTAATAAGGAGTGATAAATTGATAAGAAGAAAACTATTATCAAGAAATCTAGATGCTACTGAGGATGCACTTCTATTTTCATCTCAAAAATTATTCTCTGAGGACAATATTGTAATCCTAATAGTCAATATTGTAATATCCTAATAGTCACTAATGAAAACTAAAATAGACAACAATTTTTTAATGACAGATGTACGTCCATCAAAAAATCGAACTTATAATACTTGAATTAAATAAATCGAACCAAGGTTACACTCAACTTTTTTGTTGAAGAGTGCTCACCATTTTTTAGGCTCGTTTCTTTGTCCCATTGGACCAGATAAATTTTACGAGGAATTAGCGATCAGTATCACCAGGATTTTTAAAATTTACTCCTGTCATCGGTGCCTCTAAAAAAAAATATTCCACTAGGCCATACTATCATCTATATTACCCAACTAAACTATATTTGTTAAATTTTTAATTGTTTTTGGTTTTTTTCATTTTTTATAATTCTGTACTAATGTTTTTTTTTCTTGGAAATTCGCGAAATTTGGACCGAATCCTCCATAAGTCGAAGTTTTTCGTATGCACAACTTGTTCATTATTTTATCTCCTATTTAGTATTTATAGGATAGAAAAAAAATGCTTGAAAAATGCAATGAATTTCACTGAATTACATTGAATTTTCCATAAAAAATTAGGCTATTTTTAAATCTTTATTTTTAATTTGGCAATAATTTTTAGAATCATTTTTCAGTGTCGAAAGAAATTCGCTGTAAAAAAAATTTCGTAGCTCACATTTACTGGTTTCAACTCTCATTTACAGGTTTCCACTTTTTATGTCGCCAAAAAAATTTATGAAAATGAGAAAACGAAATTTATTTCTTACAAAAATAAATTAGTTTATGCAATTAATTTCTTTTTGAACAAATTTATAAATGCAATATTTCATATCTTCTCAAATCAAAATTCTATCAAAGTTTGCATGCGTTCTTCGTAGAATGTATTAAATATAGACTGGTGTAGTGAAACCATTTGTACAGGAGACTCACGAAGAAAAGGATTAAGCAGTAGATTTAGCAGTCATTAGAGCGATTCAAATTAGAAATGATAAGTAGAGAAAAAAAAACAAATTTTTGATGAACACTTTTCAAAGAAAATTTGAAAACAATGTCTCATAAATGCCTCAATTTGGCATTAACTGATAACTAATTTGCTTATTTAATCGAGATGAAAAGAATTACTACGTTGATGCACCACATCTCCCAGGTATTTCGCTAATAAACTTTCACTTCATCCGTTTTTTTCTCTCAATATTCTCAAAGAAAAATACTTTTAAAAGCAGGAAAATGTCTTTCAGCCATTTATCGATTCCAGAGAAGATTTTTATTCTCCTAATAAAACTTACCATATCTGTTTTGGCTAATTTGGCTCCACTGGCTTTTCAGACAAAGACCATTTTCCTGTGGGCAAACAGGTTAACCCTACAAACTAATTTGACTTCCAGCTTTATTTAGATTCACTTTTAATCATAATTTACTCATTTTATGAGATGAGAGTAGAAATGACTTAATAGAAGCAACAAGCTACTCGACCAAGCTCTTTATAATTCAGATTCATCATCCTTTTGATTAACAACAAATTTCAAATTTTTCCCTTCTGAAGTTTTTGTGTTAATTGGACAGCCAATATATTTAATCGTATGAATGAAATTGTATGAAAATGAAAAAATAATTATTCTGCAGAAAAACATTTTTTTAGGATGTTTCGTAAAAAATAATTTCTAAGTTTTCTTATTTCCCTATTTCTTATTTCATATTTTATTATACATTTTTTTTAGTCGATAATTATTTAATATGGCTAAATGGGTCTGTAAATTGGCATTTAAGGAATGAAAATTTTTCAAAAATTTCTGAAACCAATAAATCTGAATCAAATCTGAACCAATAAATCAAATTTCCACACCATAATATACAATTTATTATAATCGTTTCGTAGCCAAATTCTTCTCACATCTTATGAATGAAAAGGAAAAGAAATGATACGAATACTGCAATAAAAATTTGGAAAAATTCATATTTAATCAAAAAATATCATTTATTATCCTGTAATTTAATTTGGTTAAAAAATATTAAAAAATTAAAAAAATAAAAAAATATATTAAAAAAATAAAAAAAAATATAAATAAAAATAAAAATATATATTATTAAAAATATATATAAATATTATATATATATATATATATAAATATATATATATATATTATATATATATTAAATATATATATATTATTAAAAATATTATTATTATCAAAAAATATTATTATTAGAAGTTTTAATATTTCATTTTGCTTGCAAAAAATATAAAAAAAGTAATCTCTGCTGGCTATTAGTATGATCAGATAATTCTGCCAAAGGAGGCAAATGGCAGTGGAAGCACAGATAGGCTGCGAATACCACTTGGATTTTTTGATGATAGGCTTATTCCTGTCAAAGGCTCAAAATCTTCGCTCTGAATACGATTAAAATAATAGATCATAATAGATCACTTATAGATATAATAGATCACTTATCCGCTTTTTACATATAACATAGTATAATAAAAAATATAAATTTCCTTGAAAAATGTTCTAGCGATGGAACATTTTAAAAAATGTGATTTTTTTCAGAAATAATTAAAAGTATGAAAATATAAATCAATGCTATTTAAGTAAAAGAAGCTTTAAGTGGCGATGAAATAATGATTTTATTAGGTGCAAAGATGTCTTATCGAAGGTTATAATCGAATTTTTAGGATCATTATCAGTTCCACTGATTTTGTAATGGAACAAATGAAAAATTTGCAAAAAAATATTGACGATTTTTATGGAAAAATATTCAGGAAAATGAAAGCAATTTACTAGTAAATTGTTTTCACTTTCCTGAATTTTTAGCGGATTAGTGAAAATTTTCAGCAATTTTCAATTCGACCTGTAAATCTGTAAATGAATATCCGAATTCTCGAATCCGATATCAAAGTTGCAATTCATCGTTTTTTCATTGGAAACAATTTATTGAGGAATTCAATAAAAATATAAGGTTTTAGACGATTTGAAGATGGCCATTTGTCTTTCCTTCTCCGTTGTGCTATAATTTTATTGCTTAAATGGTTTATTTTTTGATGCTTAAAATTTCTTCAGTCAACTTATCTCTTAAGATCATTGCCAGTGACTCCACGGATTTTCTATTTCGCAGCCAATGATACCGTAAAAAAGAGACATAGTCGATTAATAGACTTAGTAGAATTCTAAATTACCGTATTAAGGAACCACGCGGCTAGTGCTTGCGATAAATTTACCATTAAAAAATCTGGCGACTCAACTGCCCTTCTATCATTAAATGACTTCATGACAAAAATTGCTAATCGTACTAGCAACCAGTGGAAGCGAGTCTAATCGGAAATGGTGAGCTAGCCATTTTAAAGGCTCGAATCCGGGCATTTCACTGATTCTTTAAGAACAATTTTTTCGCTTAAAATAATCTTTTTCTTTTTCCTTATACTTTGTGATGATAGATTTTTGATTCGCCGGTGACTGATTCACTATTTGGTTTCCTTTAAAAAATATTCTATATTTTATAAGAATATTCCTTTTATTAAATCATTATCACTATTATTATATTATTATTAAATTATTAAATTAAAAATACATGCAGATGGCGATTATATATTTGGAATAGAATATATTTTAATCGTCGTATGCCAAATAAATTATTGGTGAATGATCAACTGCTATCATTTATCGTCGTAATAAAAAAATAAAATAAAATATTTGAGCAATAAAAATTTAAAGATTGTATTGTATTATTATTAAAGAAATTATTTTAATTTGCAGAAAAAAATGGATAGCATAGATAGAAATATAAGAAAAAATTTCTATCCCTAGGAAGAAGACCGCATTCGCTGTCCTTAATACACCAACTTTGCACCAACTTTTTCCTTTCTCCCTAACTTTTCCCTAACTTTTTATAAATACCGAATCTTCATGATCATTTCTCATTCACGTCCCTCTATCTGATTCCTCAAATAACTTTGATCTTAGTTTTATATGCAATATATTTTTTTTTTCTTTGCATGCATGATAAATTTTACAGAATTGCCAACGAAATTAAAATCATGAACTCTTAAAATCAAAGTTCTTGTTTTTTAAATAAATTTCAAAAACTTAATAAAATTCGCTTTTTTTCAACTACAAATTGTGGTGTTAATTTTTCGCAAATTCTTTCACAAAATTTAAGTGGACTCAGTTATTTTGGGTTTTAAAAAGCTGATTATTGATCACAGTCTCAAGTACCAATTATTAAAAACAGTCATAGGCAATAATAAACTAAGTCAACTGGACCGCGT